GTTGTATACATTGCCCGAACTGCAATTGCAAACTGTATCTTGGCCCATCCAATTATATCTCGTTTTCGTGACTCCCGCGTAGTGATGCCCTATATTCGTAGCATAACGCACGTGCGTTGTATACGAATACAACGCACCCCGTGCGTTCCATTCGTAAACGCACGTGCGTTTTGTTCGGGGGAAGACTGTAGTAATGACCTGCCCCGTGCAGCTCCGCAGATGCACCAAGTCACGTTTTCCATTCTGAGCCGACCACCAATATATGCTGAGAGCTGTCCTTCCCTCTCCCTTCCGCAAATCCCACACAGTGGTGGGGCAAGTTCGCAAGAAGGGGTAGTTGCCTAATAACGACCTGCCCCGTGCAGCTCCGCAGATGCACCAAGTCACGTTTTCCATTCTGAGCCGACCACCAATATATGCTGANCGTTTTCCATTCTGAGCCGACCACCAATATATGCTGAAGATTGGCGTTCAGGTCTGCACATCGGCAGTTATGGGTTAGGAACTTAGGATGAAGATGCCCGTGGCTCTCTCGTTTTTTTTTTTTTGTTTTGTTTTCTTACGAATACGTCCAGTGGGGCCTGCTCCACTACTCACCAAATGCAGAAAAGACACACCATATGGCGGTGTACGGCTCCATGTTTTAGCAGAAGATTCATTCTACTCATATTATAATATAGTATACATTTCGTGAGTGGTGGAGGGTGGCCCTGAGAATCACATGGAGACATGAACAGGGTCTAGCTGAATTGGTCACCCATAACTGCCGAGCTACAGCCCTGAACTCGAATCCACAGCATATATTGGTGGTCTGCCCCCATCTCTTCAACACATGACGAGGCCATCCTTCTCATTGAAGCAGTGGCCCTCAATGGCTCCGCATGTATTGGAGGAGCCATTCGAGGCACCTGCAGGGCCCTTCAAATGATGTGAAGGGGACCCTTTGTTGTCTCTCTCTCTCTCTCTCTCTCTCTCTCTCTCTCTCTCTCTCTCTCTCTTGGGGCCTGTCTTTTTTATTTTTTTATTTGTTTTTATTATAGCGCACAGGGCGCACCTCCCTCAGAGCGTGCACCGCGCACAGCGGACCGCACTGCGCACTGAGCACAGCACACGGCGCACAGTGCACGCAATGTCAGTCCAGCGCACAGCGCAGCGCGCCCCGCCCCGCACTGCGCACTGGTGCGCCGCAACTATGCTGAGAATATTTGGCACCCCAGGTTACTAAGTCTGAAGGTCTTCCGAATAGCAGGAGCTAATGAAAAATCCTGACTACGTGCTACCTTTATGTCCTTGTCTGTCCAAGTCCCCGGTTTCTTGATCTGGGACATTACCTGTCTGCCCTCTACATCTAAATTCCAGTCCTGCCCCAAGTTGTCGCTCCTTGAGGGGCAAGTCCTTAGGAACTAAGATCAGAACACAGCACATAAGGTTAATGCCCACAGACAAACTTCAGAAAAATAAAACAGTAATCATAACAATTTAGAGTCGATTCATTCAAATACGTGTATTTCAATAGTATTTGTACTTACAAGAGTATTTATCATTCATTATATTAAGATGATTTTACTGAATGTCCCTCCTAGGAATCTACGGCCCAAACATTCCACAAGACAAAACCCCCTTTCTACTCACGATTGAACAACACATCCCCACACTCACACCCACCATCATCATGGGAGATTGGAACTCAGTGCAAAACCCAAACTTAGACAGAATCTCACACTCTCAGGACCCCACACCTTAATCAAACAGCGCCGACCTCGACGACTTTATGACTAGGAAAAATCTGATGGACCCCTACCGCCTCCTATATCCAGATAATAAGAGGTACTCCTGCATCACGAAAACCTCACAAGGGCGGACATCATTCTCCATGATAGACTTCTTCCTCACATCAGACTCACTATCAGGGGCCATACAAGACTGTTCCATCCACAACAAACCATATCATATTAAGGGATTAGACCACAAAGCCATATCCGTAGCCATCAGGCTCACCAAGGAGGGTTACACAGGCAAGAGCTTCTATCATTTCAATAATGCCCTCCCCACCAGCCAAGTCTTCAAAACAGAGCTACAAACACTACTAACATCACAAACACATCTACAGCCCCACGAGGACCTACACACAAAATTCCCCCAAATCATCAAACACATTAGCACAAAAACAGCACAAATATCCAAAAGACTAGCCTCACACAGCAAAGAGAGAGAGGAGACCCTTAGAAATGCGATAGAAATGGTGGAATTGGATCTACAGAAACATCCACACTCAGAATTCTATTCAAAATTACACATCAAAGCGAAAGAAGAGTTGGACGAATGGATGCTGGCAGGGAAACTTTCACAACTGTATCTTTCTGACATATTCCAGTTTCAATTGTACAAGGGACGCTGGGCCCGGTTCCCGGCAGGTGATGCTCCCCACCAATAGAT